TATTTTATATTTATTTTAATTAAATTTAGTATGACAATTTGTGTAAAATTAATTACAAATATCTTAATTAATGAGAGATTTAACTTGTATTTTAAGGATAAAAATAAAAAAAAAAAATTTGGGAATGATACTCAAACCCCGACGTCTAAGGGGATGGTAGCCATTACACTACAAGAATGTTCTTGTTAAAACTATACTTTTTAATGTATAATTTGATTTGAAAATTATTTGTTTAATATATTATATTTATATAAAATTAGTTTCTTAGTGGCAAAGTCAGTAAATATTGAGCTGTTCTTGTTGGTAATGCAGGAAAGATGTAAATTAGGAGGCGTCACGTATGCAATGTATATGTACAAGATTCATGTGGCGTTTGGGCATATTCAAGCAACATTGGAGGTGCGTCCAACATGTTGTGCTGACTGCTGAGTGATGCGGCAGAGCCACCGAAAGCTACATTCCTCGCCGCGTTGCTTTGCATGTGTGGCAACGTATCCAATGCTGTCCCTTTGTCGTTTTTCGACACTTTGAAAGGCGAAAGCAATCAAAAGTTCAAAACTCAATTAATTAATTAATTATGGTACTAGTTCTAGTCGTATATTGCAGTATTTTTTTTGAACATGTATATTGCAGTATTTTGTTTCTAGAAATAAATAATATAGTATAAAAAATCACAAGATCCAATTTAGAACGGGAAAAGTAGGAAGTTATGTACCAACGAAGGGTTGGATCAAGTGGTAAGTGATTTGTTCCAGCTTAAACCTTGCGTATGCAGCAGCCTTCGTTGGGAGACTCACCCACCATTTCCAGGTGCGCAACCTAGGTCGAATTCGAATTAATTGAAGCGAAACCCCGAATACCGGGCGAAAAATCAAAAAAAATAAGAAGTTATGGCGACTCTGACCCATGTGCAGATTGTCGGAAAAGACTCGTGGTCCTGAGTTCTACCACGCCCGTGAGTCGTGACCATTACTGCACGTGACCATTACTGCACAATAAAACTTTTCATCCAACTCTAAGGTTACCTGTCCATTATTAAGCGTGCTCTTAAAATTAGGTTTAAGATCAGATTTTGTAATAAGTACTTAAAAGATAGGACAAAAAGACTGCTTTTAGTTTCTTATCTTCTTAAATTTAAAAGTTTTAACTTCTCATTTTATATTATAATATTTTTAATTTTTCATTTTATTAAATTTATAAATTTTAATCTTTCATCTTATATTATGACATTTTTAATCTCTTATTTATTAAAATTGAAAAAAATAACCATCACTTTATAATATTTTGTTAGTTCTGTTAGTTAATTGTTAATTTTTTTGACTGATTGTTGTTAACTGTTAACTGTCAAAAATTTTTTTTCAGCTAATGGAGTTAAGAAAACTAATTTCATAATATTCATTAATTCTGTTAATTAACTATTAATTGACTATTAGTTGATAAAAATCTATTTTCAATTAACAGAGTTAACAATTAGTATAAAGTGAATGTTATTTTCTTCTATTTTAATAGGTGAAGAGTTAAAACCGATGATATGCTAAAAATATCATAATATAAGATAAATGACTAAAACCTTCAAACTTGATAAGGTAAAAGGCTAAAAGTAGATATTTATCAAAGATTGACACCCTATTTAATAGTGGGGTTTGCCTGACACGTAGAGGC